CAGAGATCGAACTGGGGACTGGAGTGAAAATGATCTAGAAACAGATCATATGCTGCAGGTTCATTCTGTGATGATCTATTTTCCAGTTCATTAAAGTAAATGTGAACCCTCCCTTGTAAAACAACCCATTCAGTTTAAAATATAAATGAAAGGCAAAACATTTGTGTATAGATTTTTTTTTTACAGCCATGTTTAGGGGCGTCAGGCGATATTATTTTTTTATTTTTCTTCAAAACAGCCCTCCATATTATCCTATGTGTCCATGCACACATAGACTTTTAGAAGCTTTTAGTAGCAGGAAAAAAAAAATAGCTGGGTGGGCATAGTGGGGCATTTTTGATGTCCTACAAATCCTATCGGAGCCTCTTTACAAAGTTAGTCCCTGCTTGGTACCCCCCATGTAGGAACACACAGAGATCTCCATCCACCAGAGGTTTCCTATACATCCCAATTCACTGGGACCTGCAGTGTGGATAGAAGTGAGATCCATTTATTCTTCGTTGTCTTTCATTCATCCTTCTCTATTGGTGCTCTGTGAATGATATTTTGTACATACATGTAGATGGACTGATCACCTCGGGGGGGTAAAGGGATTTCGTTTACACAAAGTATCATTACAAATGCCATACCTGCAGAAAAGAAAAGGAACACTTACCTCTTCTACTCATTACAGTATACAGTAGTGATGTTTGTGATCATCAGGAGGAAGCAGGGAAAGCTGCAGGTAGTAGGAGAGTTACTGTGAGTCTTCCTTTGCTTCTCTGTAGGTTTGGCATCTTTAAAGATACTATGAGTAAAGCTGACCATTGTCAGTTCAAATCTCGGCCGGGTCCCTGATAAACCAGCCGAGATTTGAACCATGTATGAGTGGGCTGAATGTAACCGAGTTGATTGATCGATCAACCTGAGTACAATCCGGCTGTCAAGCGACTTTGCAGGAAAGGAAATCTCTCCGTCCATGGCCGGGTTCAGTGACAGTGACAGTTGTAAAGGCGAGAGTGATGGGTGAGATAGACATTGTGGGGGAAGAAAGGGAATGTTTCATTCAGCATGAAGTAGTGAAAATGTGATTTTGTTCGTCCCATCACCTGTTATGATATATATTTCCTAACTGCCAATTCATACATACATGGTGTGATAGAGGTCAATGACTTACCTGCTTTCTTCAGAATTGTCTCTGTTTGGTCAGGCTACATGCACACGGGTGCTTTGGCCCATCAGCATCAGATCTGTGTTTTTGGACTACCGGGAGGCATAGGTGCAGCATCCTCCTCTGCTGCCAGCAGCCGGTCAGATCTATGACAGGTAAAATGACATGGCGGGTGGATGTATGCCCCGATCACAGGATTCCTGTGGGAATTGGTACTGATGGGTCAAACTATCTGTGTGCAAGAGGCTGTCTGAGGGCAGGCATTCATATTTCTGTAGGCTGAAACTAACCATAGTTACCAACACATTCTATCTGCAGACAATGAAGAGAATGCTCCTAACTCCTCCAACAACTGAATGTGAGTCCCTGAATGTCATTACCCAGCTGTCTGCTTTGTATTACTATTATAAGTCTGTCTCCTGTCTAGTTATGTACAGTAGTACGCATGTTTGTATTCTATGTCACTGATTATCACATTGCTGCGACATCTTTCTTTATCCTCATGAATTGAACATTACCTGTTTATTTAATTACCACCCTCTATTATTTCATATGTTCCCTTATCACCACCTTGAACAGATTTTCTCCCTGCTCTTCTCAGTAGACATCTCATTGAAACTCACATCTATTGCCAACCTGAGTGATATTTTTGAGGAGAAAAAACTCCATCTGATATTCTTTATGAAAGTGTGGGCACAATTCACTAAAGCCTATCGGATGAGTTAAGTCAGTCACATGACCACATATCACATGTGATACTGAAAGTGTCAATTCACTATTGCTAGTATGCGGAATGTACTGCAAAAACACTCGGTAAATACCGCATAAAGAGACCTTAAAGTCAATTCAGAAAAGGAAAGAATAATTAAATGCATGCGGTAATGTAAGTAGTGGTCCAGGCATGGGGTATGTACTGGTATCTGTCAGTACTGTCCTGGGTTGTTGAGGACTCCATGGCCACTTATTCCTTTACAATCTATGAGTCATCAGCTGTCAGCGAGGTTCCCCACTGATATATTAGACACAAACCCTGGAGCCCCTCACCATGTGTAGGTGAAAACCCAACGTGACACATACTGTATCCACCGTCTACAAGCCTGCCACCCAGGGACTTACTGTACAATATACAGTATATTGCAGCGCTGGAAATATGGTGCAGCAAACAGAAAAATGTGAAATGTTAACCACTTGCCCTCCTGAGGATTTACCCCCCTTCTTGACCAGGCCATTTTTTTTTGCGATACGGCGCTGCGTTATTTTAACTGACAATTGCACGGTCATGCAACACTGCACCCAAATTAAATTTAGGTCCTTTTTTTCCCCACAAGTAGAGCTTTCTTTTGGTGATATTTGTTTGCCTGTGTGTTTCTTTTATTTTTTTGTGCTATAAAGCAACAATTTTGAGAAAAAAAAGCCCAGTATATTTTACTTTTTTCTATTAAACTTGTCCAGTAAAAAAATTTTTTTAAAAATCAAATTGTCATAAATTTAGACCAAAATGTATTCTTCAACATGTCTTTGCTAAAAAAAAAAAAATCCCAATTTGTGTAAATTAATTGGTTTACTTGAAAGTTATAGCGTTTACAAATGGTGGAATATAAACTGGAATTTTTTTTTTTACTAGTAAAGTTTACTAGTTTTTTTTAGCGGCGATCAGCAGCTTATAGTGGGACTGCAGTGGGCATTCTGACACTGGGGGGGGAAACTGACTTGGTGTCTCTGACATCCTCGGTGACACCAATACAGTGATCAGTGCTAATAAAAAGCACTGACACTGTACTAATGACACTGGGCAGGAAGGGGTTAACATGTGGGGCGATCAAAGGGTTAACTGTGTGCTGTTTTACTATGGCGCCGTGTGTGTGTATTTCACAGTAAGCACACTGCTTTGTATGGCTGTGCTATGCATAGTCATGCAAAGCAGTGTGCAGGAGCTGACAGAAACAGTTCTCCCACCCACACCCCCCCCTCGGAGATGCTAGACAATCACCGGCTCACCCCCTACCCGGAACTGCAAAATCACGTGTGTGTGTGTGTGTGTGTATATATATATATATATATATATATATATATATATATATATATAGTGATTTTGCACGCCCATTCCGCCCTGTAGTAGTACTTCTCTTATAGGGAGGGCGGAAGCGGTTAAATGTATATAAAATTATTTTATGGTAAATATTACAATAACTAATACTATCAGCTCACATATTCTCCTCTACATTGGTGACATTGGGCCCCATCGAGAGAAAGGTGACAAAGTGTCAGATCAGAGGTCCTGGTTAGTACAAAGACTTCTGTCATTTATATTTTAACATTTTACATTGGAGTACAACCAAAAATAAAAATCTCTGTCTTTACAGGATGACAATTGTCTGAAGATCATCAACAAGGAGACGGAAGATATTGAGCCGTTCTGCTTTCAATCTGCCGGCTTGTTTTAGCGTTTATTCTCTACTTTCAGGTGGACCCGTCTTCTATTGAGTAATGAGCACTTTGTTCAGGATGTTTGGATCGAAGAATCATTTTTAGATATAAATTTATTTTTAGCATTCTGTTTAAGGACCTCCCCTCCTGTATTAATTTTGGATGAATGAATTTTTATTGGTGTCTATTACCGGATTGAACGATTTTATCATACTTCCTGTTCTGTCTGACACTCCTCAAAAGAAAGGAATTGGAGGGAAATTTCCCAGACAGGGTCCACACACAGCAATAACAATTTTATAGTCCCAACTCTTCCCTACTTTGTCTATAATAAACAAAAAAATAGTGTTTAATAAAAGTATTTCTGTTAAACTGATCTTGCCATATGTGAAATCAGATCTGTGTATTGCAGAGTAGATGGGAAGAATGAACAAATCCTATTTTATTATTAAGTTGAATACTAGGTTTGCTTTTTCTTGCACAGTTACATTGGCCTGGCTTAGATCAATGTATGTATGTATATCACATACCTCACCGCTCCCTGTATAACACTGGAAATTGCTGAAGTAGCTGCTGTTGCTGCTACTACAGTGATATCAGCAGTCTTCTGGGTCCAGTGCTGAGTGTCTCCCTTCTGTGTACTAACCTCAGGGGGTCATTCGCTCAGCACTGGTGCCAGTTAGAGAATGCCCTGCATGGGAGATTTGGGTCTACCCCCGTGTAGCCAGACAATTGCATTTTGGTAAAGTCTTCCTCTAGTGGTTGCCAAAGATATTACAGGCTGTATTCTAGCTGCCCAAATCAAGTTCTGCTCTCAATTCTTCCCACAAGCAAGGTCTTCCAGCATATTGGTTGGTTTTCAGAGATGTGTGATGGACGGCGATACCTTTCATGCCGGCTGACCTCCCTCATTGCTGCACTTTTGGAACCCAGGTCTGTGACACTAACAATTGAGGAAAATCTATGCAGATGAACTGTGAGTGATGAACTTCAGAAACATCTATTAAATGCCTGTTCTGACTATAAGATGTGCAACTGACTAAAGGCCCAGAGGGTATAAAACACACAAAGATGGCAAGGTAAAAAGTCATCAATGTAGCTGTGACAAACAACATGGGGAGGATGGGTGGGAAATGTCGGAGGACTGCAGAGGAGCTCAGAATATAACAGATCCCACCCCTTTCAGTGGAAAAGAGACCCTTCATTTAATATATGTCTTAGATTTCTGCTCATGACAGGTTCCCTTTAAGGGTTCAGCTGATACAGTATGGTGTTGGTTTTGTTAAAGATCTCTGATTTCCATTATACAAGCATTTTGCTATCAATAATTTCTTTTGCAATGGGGTTGTGTTTGTCCTTTACTGTGTTCACATTTATACTCAGTTTATTTTTTAAGTAATTTTTTTATGTGATAAAGAAGCATTTACATTACAAAGCAAAACTTTAGTGGAATAAACATTGCAGAGTTCAGGCAATGCCTGCTGGGAAATATTGGGAAATAAAAGGATCATGGCCAATATTCTGTACGGTCAGGTCTGGTACTCTGGTGGGGTTCAGCACCCAATGAGAGTGCAGGAGTGGAGTATGTACAGTCAGGGCTGGAGAGATGGAAATGATCATGCTCAGTATGTGACTGTATGGGGGGATTTGCTGGGGGTGCAGATTGTAAAATACAAGGTGGGCCAATATTCTGTACGGTCAGGTCTGGTACTCTGGTGGGGTTCAGCACCCAATGAGAGTGCAGGAGTGGAGTATGTACAGTCAGGGCTGGAGAGATGGAAATGATCATGCTCAGTATGTGACTGTATGGGGGGATTTGCTGGGGGTGCAGATTGTAAAATACAAGGTGGGCAGTTAAAGTAATTGTAAACCTCAGACATGAAATATGTACAAAGCACATCCCTCTATAGTGTGTACTTGTCTCAATTAAGAGCACTAAGTGTCATTTCTGTCTGCTGCCTCCTTCCTGTGCTGTTATCATGACAAGTTTTCCTGACAGCAAGAGAAAAAATGGTGATGGGGAGGGAGCTTCATCAGATTGATAACCTCAGCTATGTACCTATAGGCTGTGTGGAGGGGGGGCATTCCCTCCAATCAACTCTCAGAGCTCTCTTCACTGAGCTCTGCAGTGTGTAATTTCTGTTCTCTGTCCCCTTTTTCTGAGCTCTCGGACAAGCTTTATAAATTCAGCACTGTGAATAGATGTAGAGAAGACTGCAGGTAAACAGGTACAACCTATGTAGGAGGATTTGTTTCATCTCTGTGTATCACCAGAGGCCAGTCACTTCACTAGGTATATGTAAGGATTTACAACCACTTTCAATGTGTACTGATCCTGCAATCCATCCAGCAGCAGGCTTGGTGAGGGCATGTCACTTTAATGAACTGCTACATGTTTCAGCACTTTGATTGCCAAAAGGATCCCTATAAAGAGAATCTGACTTTGCCCGCTCAGAACAAAGTAACAGTCTATTTACAGGCCACCCAACATACCTCATCATTTCCCCGACTCCATTGCTTTGCAGTCTTTACCTCTGTGTAGGCTCCATGTCAGATGGGATTGGCTCTTTTATAGGGTGATGATGTCACCCTCCTCTCTCACTTGTCAGGGTTCTGGCTGGTCGCTCATCCCCAAGCACTGCATTCTGGGAGGATGTCACTTCCTGTCCCACACCCCGGTATTTTTGGGGGGCTTCAATAGAGTGAGGTATCACTGCAAAGGGAAGTGTAAATGAGTTGGGGGAGTGAGCTCTAAAGAGAGACCCTGTCACTTCGCCCTGAACTCTGAAAGTAGCAGTCTCTATTATATCTGATAGCAGGGTGTTTGAGACCCCAAATATAAAAATGTGTCAGCATTATATGTATTGTGATTGGATAAAGACGTACATCCCCCCAGCCTAACATCCTTCTGCCCTGAATATATTAAACCATCATATTGTTCAGCGAGGTTTTCTCTTCTTCTATGATGACAGTCGTTAGACAACAGCAATCCGGAGCCTAAACCATGAACATGTTGTGAGGTTTTATTGGGTTTGGAATAAAAATAATTTGTGAAGCTGCGAATCATTTCACTGTCATGTCTACCCAAACCTTCTCCTGTCCTGAAGCAGATGTACCTTCTAAGGAGCAGACATAGATATAGGAGGGTATGATGTATACATTACAGACCGGCATTATTAGGGCTTGACCGGACATGTGGCAGCGCTTGCTGCCCCTCTGAAAAGCAGTGACAGGCGGCTGGGATGGGATATGTCACCTCCTCTCTGTCTGTTTTAACCCTGAAAATGGCTAACCACTTCACTGCAACTGCATGTATTGCACACGGCTGCAGGGCAGGTGCAGCACAGCCCCATTCACTTGAATGGGTCACCATTGACATTGCGGCTGTGGCATGTGTACAGCCCTGAGGGGTGCATGTCTTGGGTGGTCAGGAGGGGTGAATTTGCTGCCCTTTCCACATCATATAAAGAAGAGTTATCACTATCTTTTACAGTACGGAGTTCCTGATAGGACAGAGTCCATGTAGTACTGTGTCCCATCATCCTTGGTGCCCCGAAACACTAGCCGTGATGTTGGACAGGTTGCCCCTCCTCCCCTTAGTGCATGGCTGCCCCACAACACAGCAAGCAAGGAGATGACTGCTTTGATAGCAAGCACCTGCCTCCCACTAACAGCACATGTCCAAGGCAAGCACAGGCAGGAGGAATGCAGAAGAAGGTGATGTGTGTCGCCTCCCTTCCCTCGGCATTGTTATTGCTGGTGCTTGCCTCAGACAAGTGCTGGGAGCTGGAGACAGTCGTAGGGAAAGCAGCCGTCTCCTTGCTAGTGGTGTTGTTGGGCAGCTGTGTGCCGGGGGGGGGGGGGGGGGCATCCTTTCCATCATCACTGCTCGTGTTACAGGACACCTAAGGAGATGGGAAAATGCTGCATTTACTTTGTCTCATCAGGAACTCGTTAGTATACAAAAGTGATCATTTTTCTTTAAGTTACATTTTGCTCAACATAAGAAGCTGCTTGGATGGCTGTGAAATGTAAACATTACAGAACAAGTCCAGTTACATGTGACTAAGGTCCGGTTCACACTAGAATGCGGTGCAGGAAATCCGCCATCCATGTGGGTTCCCCACACCGCATTGTAACTGCACTGCCCTTGTGATCTGCAGGGGGGTTAGTGCAATGTTAATGACACCACAGACAAAGGTCACAAATGCAGAGCGTATCCTGCGCCAGATTGCAGGGTACAAAATGACCGTGTGATCTGGTTGCAGTGCATTTCCAGACTTGGTGCAGAACTTCGGTGCCATTTGAGTGGATTCAAAATGAATTGGTCAGCTTGCACTGCACTGAATCATGTGAATTGTACTGACGGGAGAGAACTGTATGTAAGCAATATAGTTCTCTCCCCTGTCAGCTCCTGCACACTGCTTTGCGTGGCTCTGTATAGCATAGCCATACAAAGCAGTGTGCTTACACAGTGGAAAGCATTAACACAGTTAACCCTTTGATCACCCCATATGTTAACCTCTTCCTGCCCAGTGCCATTAGTACAGTGTCAGTGCTTTTTATTAGCACTGATCACTGTATTGGTGTCACTGGGGATGTCAGTGACACCAAGTCAGTTCCCCACAGTGTCAGAATGCCCATCGTAGTCCCACTAATAAGTTGCTATAATTTTCACATAAAGCAATTAATTTACACTTGTTAGCAAAGACATGTCGCAGAATACATTTTTGCCTAAATTTGATGAAATTTGATTTTTTTTTATTTTTTACTGGACATGTTTAATAGCAAAAAGTCAAAAATATTCTTTTCTCAAAATTGTTGGTCTTTTTTTTTTTTTAAAGCAAAAAAATAAAAAAAACGTACAGGCGATCAAATACCACCAAATGAGAGCTCTATTTGTGGGGAAAAAAGGACGTAAATTTCATTTGGGTGCAGTGTTGCATGACCGCGCAATTGTCAGTTAAAGCAACGCTATGCGGTATCGCAAAAAATGGCCTGGTCAGGAAAGGGGGTAAATCCTCTGGAGGACAAGTGGTTAAAGGGAAACCTGTATTTGGAGGAATCTAGAGGCTACCAAACCTTGTTCAGTGAATGCCGTTTGCATTGTTTTCATGGGGATCCGGTAGCTTTTGGTGTTTTCATTGAGTCGTGGATCCAGAATAATTATGCAGAATTGAGAAGTAAAATTTAGGGGATCTATACAGAAAACAATTTCTGTGCAAATGTTTCAGCATTCAACAGCCGCCACAAATAATCCCTGAAATGTGGCTAATATGTTTATTGTCTGTGATTGGCAGCTCCCTAGGTCAGGGTTAGATTTGGGGGTCAAGGTTGGGGTCAAAGGTCAGGGTCAGTGTATTTTAAGGATTAAAAAAAAAAGCAAAATGTGCGCTAATGTTTCTGGGCCGTACTACGGGTACAAACAACAAATAACACACAATATGTGATATCACTGCCATCATCAGGAGCTGGAACATTTATTTTGGGCTCTTTGTTGGTTGGTGAAAAAATAGCATTTGTTACTAGTTTGTGCCAGTTTCTTTTTAACCACTTCCAGTCCGGACACTTCCACCCCCTTCCTGTCCAGGCCAATTTTCAGCTTTCAGCGCTGTCGCACTTTGACAATTGCGCGGTCATGCAACACTGTGCCCATATGAATTTTTTAGCATTTTTTGAGACAGATAAAACTTTATTTTGGTGGTATTTATTCAGTGGGATTATTTTTTTTTTGCTATATAAATGAAAAAGTCCAACATTTTGAAAAAGTGTTTTTTTAAATACAATTTTGCAAATAAATAATCTTTCTTCATAAATCTTGGCCAAAATGTATTTCAGTTATCTTTTCAGTAAAAAAAAAAAAACCCAAATTAGTTTATAAACCAAAAATTATAAGTTTTTAAAAACCATTTTTTTACATTTTTTATTTTATATTATTATGGGGTTTTTGTTCTAACATACTGTCACCACTAGCAGAACAGTGTGTGTCAGGAAAGGACTGCCAGCAATAGTGGGACTCACCTGCCTTATGAGCTGCAGTACCAGGGCTGGCCAGCGGGTGCTCCCTAGCAATCAGAGACTCAACCTTGCAGCCAGTCAAACACCTGGAACTAATTATACTGGTGTATTTAAGGGACATTCAGACCTGCAGACTCTGCCTTAGTGTGTGTTTTTTCCTGGGCCCTGTATCTTGTAAACCTGCGTTCCTGTTCCTGTCTTGTTGCTGACCCTGCTTGATTCTGACCTCTGCTGACTTCTCCTGCTCTGACCCGGCTCGTTTCCTGACCATCCTCTGCCTGACCCTCTGTATTCACGCTGCCCTACGCTACCTGCTGACCCTGGCTTGTGACCCCGACCATTCTCTCCTGCTTGCTCCCCCTGTACCTACCTGCCCGATTGATATTGACCAGGGACACCTGCCTGACGACGCTCCTCGCATTGTTTGTTACTGTTATCTGTGGGTGGTTGGTTGGGTTTGTTTGCACTGTATTATGTTTAGTATTGCACTGAAAACAGTTTAGTAGCGTTTAATGTATTGTTAGTTATGTTAATAAATCGTATTGTTTATAACATATCTGAAGTCTGCGTTTCCCTGCGTCAGTCACACACCTCTGGTCATACCCGGGAGCTCTGACATTACACCAAGCCATCCTGACCAGAAGTGGCTGCACAGGGAAGCCATCTTGGTTTGTTGATGGGAAGGATGGATCTTGATGAGGTTGAGTATTTATCTTGCTAGTGTTTGATGACAGGGAGTATGCTTATCAAACTCTGAAGGAGTATACCGGGATGAACTGCTAGAAATTGTATACGGCTCGCCTCATGTTCTAGTAGATCAAGGCACAGAGTTCTCTGAGGTGCAGCCCATTGATTGAGGTTTTGTGCAGAGTGGTTTCATTCTGGTACCCCGAAAGGGGTGCAAAAAGAAACAATAATAAAAAAAACAAAAACAAAAAGAGGATGAATTTTTTTGCCACCATTTTTAGTGCAGACCAGGTAGAGTCCCCTGGTTTGTGGTTATTAGAGGATGATGTGGGTTACTTATCTGGGAGCGTTATTCACATGTTACACCACAGATACTAAGAGATTGTATAAAACGCAGTGCAGTCTTTGGTCAGACATGCTTTGTGTAAGCTCAGCTTTGTTCAACCCATAACTGCAGACATGGACAGACTTGTTGCACCCAGCCGTCAGTCAGCTTACAAAGACCCCCAGTCCTGCATTCTAATCTATTTCCTCAAAGCTCTACTCCTGTATTCCCAAAACAGCTCCTCCAGTTACAAGCCCTAGTATTCTTGGCTATCTACCAGCATGTCAGTAACCCTGTTCCACTCGCTGCACCTATCCTGCCTTTAACCCTGTAAAAAAGCCCTCTGTAGCAACTGTTCCCTCCCCTGTTCCGATCCTCCAGCTCTTCTCTGTCTCCAGCTGCTCCATTCGTTTGCAGACATGCGTTACTTGCAGTGCCTCCAGTAGGTTAAAACCAGGAAAAAAAGCGAAAATTTCTTTCAACCAATACCATCTGCCAGTATCCAAACGGTGAGGTCCTGCCGTCTGAGAACCTGCCTTCTCGTGGTTCAGCCTGATGCCTCTCCTCAAGCCTGATGCCTCTACTCAGCTCTGAAGCCTCTACTTCACCTGAAGCCTCTACTCAGCCTGATGCCTCTACCTCAGCCGGGATGCCTCTATTCAGCGGATGCCTCTACTCAGCCTGATGCCTCCTACTCTAAGCCTGAGTGCCCTGTTCTACTCAGCCTGATGCCTCTACTCAGCACCTGATGCCTCTACTCAGCCTGATGCCTGTTACATCTGCCGGATGCCTGCATTCAGCTGATGCTCTCTACCAGCATGATGAACTGATCCAGCCTGACGATCCTATTAGGCCAGTTGACTCGATGCCCGCTGTTGATCAGATGATCCGGTACCTGATCCGGTGCCCAGCTGTCGTGCCAATTGACTCAGAGCCCGCTGTTTCGTACCTGGTGACTCGGTGCCCACTGCCTTGCCAGAATGACGCGGTGCTCACGCTGGCGAGCCAAATGACCTGATGCCTGGTGACCCAGTGCCCGCTGTCATACCTGGTGGTACCCGATGCCCGCTGTCGAGCCAGACAATCCGGTTTCCTGATGACCCGGTGCCCGCTGTCATGCCAGTTGACTCCGAGCCCCGCTGTCGTGCCTTCTGGTGACTCGGTGCCCCACTGCCTTGCCAGATGACACGGTGCCCCGCTGGCGAGCTAAATGACTCTGATGCCTGGTGAACACAGTGCCCGCTCTCAAACCCCCCATGGTGACCAGATGCCGCTGTCGAGCCAGACCGATCCAATGCCTGGTGACCCCGAGTGCCCGCTGCCTTGCCAGATGACGCGGTGCCCGCTGGCAAGCAAAATGACCTGATGCCTGGTGACCCAGTGCCCACTGTCATACCTGGTGACCGCGATGCCTGCTGTCGAGCCAGACAATCCGGTACCTGATGACCCGGTGCACACACGCTGTCGTGCCAATTGAGTCAGAGCCCACTGTTGTGCCTGGTGACTCGGTGCCACACTGCCTGCAGATTGACACGGTGCCACGCTGGCGAGCTAAATTGACCTGATGCCTGGTGACACCAGTGCCCGCTCTCAAAACCTGGTGACCCGATGCCCTCGCTGTCGAGCCAGACGATCCAATGCCTGGTGACCCGGTGCCCACTGCCTTGCCAGATGACGCGGTGCCCGCTGGGGCCCAAGCAAATGACCTGGGATTGCCTGGTGACCCAGTGCCGCTGTCATACCTGGTGACCCGATGCCCGCTGTCGATGAGCCAGACAATCCGGTACCTGATGACTCCGGTGGCCCGCTGTCGTGGGCCAATTGAGTCAGAGGCCACTGTTGTGCCTGGGTGATTCGGTGCCACGCAGTCTTGCCAGACGACTCGGTGCCCGCTGTTCGCCATGTTGACTCGATGCCCGCTGTTCCGCCAGACGACTCGGTGCCCGCAGTCTTGCCAGGACGACTCGGTGCCCGCCAGTCTTGCCAGACGACTCGGGTGCCCGCAAGTCTTGCCAGACGACTCGGTGCCCGCAGTCTTGCCAGACACGACTCGGGTGTACCACGCAACGTTCTTGCCAGACGACTCGGTGCCCGCGCAGTCTTGCCAGACGACTCGGTGCCGCTAGTCTTGCCAGACGACTCGAAGCCCGCCTGTTCCGCCAGTTGGCTCGGTGCCCGCAGAGTCTTGCCAGTTGATCTCGGTGCCCGCAGTTCTTGCCAGTTGACCTCTCTTGGAGCCCACTGTCGTGCCTGGTGACTCGGTGCGCCACGCCGCTCCGCCTGGGCGGCTGAGACCCTGTCGCTCCTGCCTGGGGGTCCGGCGCCCGCCGCTCCGCCTGGGGGGTTTCCGGCGCCCGCCGCTCCGCCTGGGGGTCCGGCGCCCGCCGCTACCCCGCCTGGGGGTATGAGACCGGTGCTCCGCCCTGGGGGCCTGAGACCTGTCGCTCCGAACCATTGGGGGTCCGGCGCCCGCCGCGGTCCGCCTGGGGGTCCGGCGCCCGCCGCTCCGCCTGGGGGCCACGAGACCTGTCGCCTCCGCCTGGGGGTCCGGCGTTCCGGCCCGCCACTCCGCCTGGGGGGACCGATGCCCTGTCGCCCTCCTGGGGGCCCGGCCGCCCGCCGCTCCGCTTGGGGGACCGATGCGCTGTCGCCCGCCTGGGGGCCCGGTGCATGTCGTCCCGCCTGGGGGCCCGATGCCTGTCGCCCTGTCCCCCTCCGGGGGTGCCCGGTGCCTGCTGCTCCGCCTGTGGGCCCGCTGCGACTGCTGCTCCGCCAGGTGGCTGCTGCTTTTCCTGGTAATCAGATGTGCCTCTGCCCGGAGTCCAGCCCGATGTGCCTTGCCCGGAGTCCAGCCCGATGTGCCTCTGCCGGATTCCAGCCCGATGTGCCTCTGCCGGAGTCCAGCCCGATGTGTGCCTCTGCCCGGAGTCCAGCCCGATGTGCCTCTGCCCGGAGTCCAGCCCGATGTGCCTCTGCCGGAGTCCAGCCCGATGTGCCTCTGCCCGGAGTCCAGCCCGATGTGCTCTGCCCGGAGTCCAGCCGATGTGCCTCTGCCCGGAGTCCAGCCCGATGTGGCCTCTGCCCGGAGTCCAGCCCGATGTGCCTCTGCCACGGAGTCCAGCCCGATGTGCCTCTGCCCGGAGTCCAGCCCGATGTGCCTCTAGCCCGGCAGTCCAGCCCGATGTGCCTCTGCCCGGAGTCCAGCCCCGATGTGCCTCTGCCGGAGTCCAGCCCGATGTGCCTCTGCCCGGAGTCCAGCCCGATGTCGCCTCTTGCCGGGAGATCCAGCCCGATTGTGCCTCTGCCGGGAGTCCAGCCCGATGTGCCTCTGCCCGGGAGTCCATGCCCGATGTGCCTCTGCCGGGAGTCCAGCCGATGTGCCTCTGCCGGGAGTCCAGGCCCGATGTGCCTCTGCCGGGAGTCCCCCGATGTGCCTCTGCCGCCCCAGCCGCCCAGCCCGATGTGCCTCTGCCGGGAGATCCAGCCCGATGTGCCTCTGCCGGGAGTCCAGGCCCGATGTGCCTGCCGGGAGTCCAGCCCGATGTGCTCTGCCGGGAGTCCAGCCCGATGTGCCTCTGCCCGGGAGTCCAGCCCGATGTTGCCTCTGCCCGGAGTCCAGCCGATGTGCCTCTGCCCCGGAGTCCAGCCCGATGTGCCTCTGCCCGATGTGCCAAGTCAAACACCTGGAAAACTAAATTATACTGGTGTATTTAAGGGGACATTCAGACCTGCAGACTCTGCCTTGGTGTGTGTTTCTTCCTGCTGGCCTGTATCTTGTAAACCTGCGTTCCTGTTCCTGTTCTTGTTGCTGACCCTGCTTGATTCTGACAACTCTGCTTTACTTCTCCTGTTCTGATCCCTGGCTTGTGACCCTGACCATCCCTGTCTGCCTGACCCTCTGTACCACGCTGCCCGCTACCTGCTGAACCTGGCCCTGTGACCCCGACCATTCTCCGCTTGGAGGCTCCCCCCGTACCTACCTGCCAAAAAAAATATTGTTATTGACACGCGGCCCTGCCTGACGACGCTTGCTCATTGTATGTACTGTTATCTGTGGGGATGGTTGGTTTTGGTTTGTTTGCACTGTATTATGTTTTTAGTATTGCACTGCGTTTATGTATTGTTAGTGTTAATAAATTATATTGTTCATCACATATCTGAAGCCTGCGTTTCCCTGCGTCAGTCACATACCTCTGGTCACACCTGGAGCCCTGACACAGTGTCACCATTGTGACACTGTACTACTTCTGGAGAGTGATGAAGATTTTTTTTTTTAACTGATTGCTTTTACAGCCTTGATTGTAAAAGCAATCATTTCTCCTCTCTGGCTGCATTCTTGCAGCCATTGAGAAGTACTGAGTGAGCTGTGATCGGTCACAGCTTGGCACATGGTACAAGACTGTTGTGAAGAGCCCCGTACCATGTGACCTCTGTGTTCATTCACAGATTTCACACGTAGTAAGCAATGATGTCAGAAGTGACATCTTGCTTACATCTAATCATGTGATCACTACTGATTGGCCAATCAGTGATCACATGATCGGGACCTCACGCAGAGGTCCCGTACAGTGATCGGCGTTCCGCTGTGTCCTCACTTGAATACAATAAGTAGTTGAAATGATATGTAGAGTTTTACTGACGCATCAAAGTTGCAGAACTGTGATCAGGCATTATCCCCTTCCTGCCACACCACCTCCCGGCCCCTTTGAGAGGTGGTCTAATCTGTCCGCCAACTGAAGCTGAGGATAGGTGATGCAACAGGACAATGACCCAAAGCATACAAGTAATTCAACAAAAACAATGGCTGCAACAGCACAGAATACGCCTTCTGGAGTGGCCCAGTCAGAGTCCTGACCTCAACCCGATTGAAATGCTGTGGCATGACCTTAACCACTTGCCTACCAGGCACTTATACCCCCTTATTTACCAGGCCAATTTTCAGCTTTCAGCGCTGCCGCACTTTGATTGACAATTGCGCGGTCATGCAACATTGTACCCATATGAAATTTTGATCATTTTTTTCTCACAAATAGAGCTTTCTTTTGGTGGTATTTAATCGCCACTGGGCGCTTTACTTTTTGCGCTATAAATAAAAAAAGTGCAAAAAATTTGAAAAAAAAAAAAGTTTGTTTCTATTATAAAATTTTTCAAACAGGTAATTTTTCTCCCTTCACTGATGTGCGTTGTTGAGGCAGCACTGATGGGCACTGATAGGCAGCACTAAAGGGCACTGATAGGCAGTACTAATGAGGTGGCACGGATAGGCGGCACTAATATGCAGCACTGATAGGCGGCACTGATAGGTGACACTGATGATGGGTACTGATAGACGGCACTGACTGGCATCACTGCTGGGCACTGACTGGCGGCACTGACTGGCACAACCGCTGGACACTGACTGGTGGCACTGACTGGCAGCACTGGTGGGTGGCACTGGTGGGTGGGCACAGGTGGGTGGCACTGGTGGGCACAGGTGGGTGGCACTGCTGGGCACAGGTAGGTGGCACTTCTGGGCACAGGTGGGTGCACTGCTGGGCACAGGTGGATGCACTGCTGGGCACAGGTGGGTGATCTGCTGGGCACAGTGTGGGCAGAGCTAGTGGGCGCACTGCTGGGCACAGGTGGGCGGAACTTGCGGGTTCCACTGCTGGGGCCGATCATCAAGGGCACTGATCATCAGTGCCCTGATGATCGGTGCCGATCCTCGCTCTGACAACTGCCGGTTCTCGGCAGTACTTTCCTCACGATCTGACAGCGTGAGGAAAGTGCAGCCGAGAACCGGCACTTGCATTTCCCTCTGATCAGCGTGTCATTGGACACCGCTGATCACGTGGTAAAAGGCCGCTGTGATTGGCCTTTTACCACATCACGTGATCAGCTGTGTCCGTAGGACACAGCGATCACGGAGATCGCCGGGTGCGCGCGCCCCCTGGGGCTCGCAGGAGAGCGCGTTCTGGGAGGACGTCATATGATGTCCACTCAGAACTGGCCGGCCGCAGTGCAGCCGTCATTCGGCTATCTGCGGTCGGCAACAAGTTAAGAGAGCGATTCACACCAGACATCCCAAGAATATTGCTACACTGAACAGTTTTGTGAAGAGGAGTGGTCCAAAAATGACTCCAGATCGTTGTGCAGGTCTGATCTGCAACTACAGGAAACGTTTTGGTTGAGGTTATTGCTGCCAAAGGAGGGTCAATCAGTTATTAAGTCCAAAGGTTCACATACTTTTTCCTCCCTGCACTGTGAATGTTTACATGTTATGTGCAATTAAACCATGGCAACATCTGGGGCAGTCAATTGGGGGGTGGAGCCTGAACATGGCGGCACGGGAGAGAGTGTAGCTTAGCACTCTCCGTGAGCCTTCCCCCCCCCCCCCCGTTTTATCTCCCAATGAAGCCTCGTCAGAGGGTCCAGCTGCACTGAATGCAGGGACTCACCTGCTGGAAAGAGTCGGAGGAGTCCCCGGGGACGGTCGGAGCCGGCAGAGTGTCGGGAGGGTGCTGGGAGAGAGACACATCGGGGTCTTCCCTTTTACGGCGGCCGCTGAAGAGGAGTGGGGTTGCCTGGGAGACGACCGGGTGGCCTGGAACTTGGGGAGAGTCGGGAGAGAATCACCTCGTGGCTTCAGCAGGTCTCTGGCGTTCTGCGGCTGCGGCTTCGGAGGAGGAGCAGGGTTGCCAGGGAGACGTCAGTGAGTCAGCTGGGACATTGGAGAGACGCTGACACTGACTGATTCCAACAAGTGAGAAGCAGTGGAGGAGCTCTGGGAGCTCCGAGAAAGAGAGGGATTGCCCGGCATCTCAGCAAGTGGATGAAGCGGCTGAGGGTAAAGGACATATTGTCCCCACAATAGATATAACATCTATATAAATATATCATCTCCTCCCCTCCTACACCCAACCTAATTCCACCCTAACTTCACATCATTCCCATACCATATCCATATTATTTTTAATTTTACAGCTCCACAAGTATATATTATCATGATCATTTTTTACGGCTAAACATTCTAACCCCCACTCTACTCCTTTCTCTAACTATTAACTTGCATATTAACTCTAATCGAAGGGGGCCTGTAATGGGAGGATAAGCTATATGAGCTACGAGAGACCCCTAGGAATCCCTTCAAGAGGAGACAAGCGGAGTCAAACACAGAGGACTGTTTCTGAAGTGAAGTTCCAACGCGGTGGGTGAGTGAGGACCGTGGGTCCCTCCTGCAGGTCCTCTTTTACACTGCATATACATTGGTTTTTGTATGTTAGACTTTTATATACTCTGAGTTCCTGCACTAGATTGTGAGGTGCCTGGAAAAAGGACTGTGACTAAAATACTCAACCAGAAAATAAAAGAAATAGGGGATTCCTAGGACAGGTCTGAAGATTGGAGGAGTAAAAGACCAAGAGTTTCAGAAAATAAGAGATAAAAATTTTCCAAACTACAGCATGAAAGGTAAAAATACCAAAAGGAGCGGGCCTAAGAACACCCCAAACGGGTACGATTAAGAAGTATGTGTCACAAGGAAATGTTACCCCAGAAAGAACTCAGGGAATAAGTGAAAAAAGTGAATCGGAAATAAGTCTGGATAACAGCCCAAGACTTTCCCTAGGCCCAGTTTACAATAGTCAAATGGAAGGTATGGAATCAAGAGAGTTGGAAAGAGATATGCAATTACCTAACAAAAAAGAAATGGCAGAGATGTTTAAAGGATTGGAAAATTCAATAAAGCAAGAGATGGGGATGATTCGGGAAGACCTGGGACAATTGTTAACTAGGGTGGAGGAAATGGAGGAGAAGGTACAAGCCCAAGCTCAGACCATCCCAAAACTAGAGAAATGGATAATTGAAGATAGAAAAGAACATAAGAGATTGCTTTACAGGATGGAAGAACAAGAAAATAGAGAAAGGAGAAATAATATCAGAGTTAGAGGAGTACCAGAATTGACACAGGGGGAAGATCTAAAAGAGCTATCTGGTAAAATCTTGAACTTCATAATGGATAAATCGGATGAGGAGAGGTTTAAACTGGATGAAGTATACAGGATTGGGAAGAATCAACAAGGAAATGGGGTAGAAAAACCAAGAGACATAATTGTTAAATTCCACAATTATGGAGATAGAGAAGAGATATGGAAAAAGATTAAAGGAAGATCAAATATCACATATTGTGGGAAAAATATCCAAATTTTTGCAGATTTGACAGCAGAAACTCTGAGAAGGAAGAGAGCATTGAAACCCCTATTGGAAGCGATGAAAAAACAAGGAGTGAAATACAGATGGGGCCGTGACTTAAGTTTAATTGGGTGGAGGGATGGAATTACAGCTGTCTTAAGATTCTCGGAGGATATGGAAGAATTTTGTGAAAAATTTGGATTGCAGAGACAAGTGATATTGGTTGGGAAGGGGAGGAGGGAGAGTTGGATATTAGTGGGACAGGAAAGTGGCAGCTGGTTAAAAGAGGAAATAGAGAATCAATAGATAGGGGGATGTTGGGGAGGAGGGGGGGGACGGTAAGCGGTCATGGGTAGAGTCGAACCCCTATAGAGGGATCAAAAGTGGAAGATGATCCAAAGGCATAGGAGGCCTGGGGGGGGGGTGGGGAGGTGGGAGGGAGGGGGGGGGAGGAGATGGCAGGGGGGGAGGGGGTGGGGGAGAGAGGGGGGGGGAAGGGGGGGGGGGAGGGAGGGGGGAGAGTTGAGAGTTGGGAGGGAGGGAGGGAGGGGAGGAGGTATTGGGTTAATACTCTGCATGACAGAAGGGATAAAGAGGAAGAGGCAATATGGAAGAGAGATGGAGTTAATTGGAATGATGGAAGAAATACAGTTTATAACCTATAATGTGAATGGGTTGAGTTGTCCAGGAAAGAGATTTAGGTTGTTTAATGAGTTACATCATAGGGCTACCTCAGTGGTATTTTTACAGGAGACGCATTTTGAGATAGAGGTAAACGTGAAATTGAAATCCAAACACTACCCAACATGGTACTATGCAGATTCTCCAATTAAAAGAGCAAAAGGGGTTGCAATAGGTTTTGCAAAGAATATGAGATTTGAGCTGGAGGATAGAAGAACCGACCCCGAGGGGAGGTTTTTATTCTTAAAAGGTAGACTCCAGGGGATTGAATGTACTTTAGCCAATATATACTGCCCTAATAAAAACCCGGAGATGTACATGAAGGGTCTGCTGAAAAAATTATGGAATTTAAAACAGGTTGCCTGATAGTAGCTGGAGACCTAAATTTCTGTATGGACCCACAAAAGGATAATACCTCTTCTGTACAAAGAGAGGGGAGTAGGTCTCTGAGAGCTTGAAAAAAGTGATGCATGAATATCAACTAGTGGACACTTGGAGAATAAAGCATATGAAAGACAGAGACTATACCTTCTTCTCTAATGCACATAAGATGTACTCGAGATTAGATTACATCTTAATAGACCATCAACTTATAGATCATCTGGTTAAAATAGACATAGAAACAAGGACGTTCTCAGACCATGCCCCGGTTGTAATGAAAATGGGATGGGGAAGAAGGTGGACGGGAGGAATGGGGTGGAGGTTAAATGAGGGTCTTTTTCTGGATGAGGATGTAGTTCAGAAAATCGAGAAAGAGATTATGGTATACTTTAAGGAGAACGAAACAGAGGAAGTATCGATAGCTACAGTCTGGGAAAGCCATAAGGTATTCATAAGAGGAATCTTGATTGCGGTAGGAGCAAGGAAGAAAAAGGAAAGAAGAGAGAGGGTCAGTAGGCTCTTAAAAGAAATATTGGACTTGGAGCAGATCCATATGAAGAAAATAACAAACGATACGAGACAGAGGTTATCGGATAAAAAAGACGAGCTAGAGAGGTTGATGGATGAGGAGAAGAGAAGAGTATACAACAGGGTTTTGAACGAAAGATATAGATGGGGAGATAGGCCAGGAAGATATTTAATGAGAGCTTTGAATAAAAAGAAAAATAGGAACTATATAGAAAAGATAAAAAGTTCAAAGGGGGAGTTGGTCCACTCAAATAAAGAGATTATTAAAGAGTTCACGGAGTATTATAATAAGTTATACAATATTAGCCCCCAAGGCCCCCTAAAAGAAGCCCAAGAGGGAATTAATGAAAAAAAGATGACATACTTAAAAAATGCGAGATTACCAAAACTAAGTGAAGCACAGTTGAAATCCCTAGATGCAGAAATCTCCCAGGAAGAAATTAAAAGAGCATTAAGAAGCACAGGGGGGGGGAAAAAGCCCAGGCCCGGATGGATATACAGTTAAGTACTATAAGAAATTTAGTGAAGTACTGCTACCCAAGTTGGAGAAATATATGAATGCTTTGGGAGGTGGGATGGAAGTGAGGAGAGAATCCCTACAGGCCCATGTAGTACTTATTCACAAGGAGGGAAAAGATCCATCTCAGTGCTCTAGCTATAGACCTATCTCATTATTGAACGTAGACACTAAACTCTATGCAAAGGTGTTAGCAAACAGGTTGAGGGATCTGATGCCTGAATGGATCCATGGAGACCAGGTGGGCTTTGTACCGGGGAGAGAAGGTAGAGACAACGGCTTGAGAACCCTGATGCTTATTCAGAAAAGTAGAAAAGGGAAAGCCCCGGTGGTGCTCTTGTCAATTGATGCTGAAAAGGCATTTGATAGAGTGGACTGGGGCTTTATGATGGACAACTTAAAAGTGCTGGGGATAGGTGATAGAATGCGAGAGTGGATAAGTAAACTATATAGGGAGCCTACTGCAATTATCACGGTAAATGGGGAGAGATCAGAACCCATTGGAATGTCTAA